TCGGATGGGCATCATGTACTTCTTCTGTATGTACACCATCAGCCAACTGGGTGAGGGAGAGCTGGCTAATGCTGCTGGCACTTTGACCGCGAAGACTAAACTATTACTGACACTCGGGGCTGAATTTATTTTTGTACACATTCTGACACGTGTTTATGAGAAAAGTCAAAATGTGATGTATTTAGGATCACGCGATCAAGCTGGATTTTGGAAGTAAATAACAGGCTGGCTCGAAAAAAAAAAGAGTCAATTGTTTTGAGTTTTCACTGACCTATGGAAGCCCATTTCTGCCAAAAAGTAGAAAAGTTAGGGATGATAACGAATAAAAAAAGACGGAAAATAACTGTCGTACTAAGTCATTAATAGGACAAAATTCAGGGATGAGAAAAGAACGTACTTACTGAAAGTCATAATTGTGAGATTGTAACTCATTTATTTTGGCATCCCTAACTTTTGTCCTGTTGATTAAACTGGCTAATTGAGCCGAACATAGTTCTCACTAATCTGGCGATAGCAATGTGCTTTCCTACGCTGCGTAGGAAGATATAAGATGAACGATTAAGTTGTTAAAACTTTAGTCATCGGCTCGTTTTAGTCGTTACTGCCAAACCTCACCTCAGTGAGTCGTCGACTTGCTGTAAGTCGGTTTGGTTCACACGGAAGTTAGCTCGCTGCAACGGTCGCAATGGCAACGGTACACATAAAAAATGGCCACCGCTCTGACCGTTCTGCCACGTTGACTTGAAGGGGAATGTCCCTTGTACTCCGACTCTATTTCTATGGCGATAGCATTAGCATAGCATTGTCTGCAGATGATGCATTTTTTTAAGAAGAATTTGGAGACTTTATCTTAGACCTTCTTTCTTTCTTTTTTTCAGTAGCTATTCTCACACTTAATCATTAACAATAAACTAAATCCTGGATTTCTTTCACTGTGGCCAAACTCACTGAGGACTCAGTTAAGCCGAGTGCTTATAATCCATGTTTGTCCTGCCGGGAATATGGTAAACTTTCTGTTGTCTGTTTCTAGTGTCTTTCCTCGTCCTCTCAAGCTTCTCTGTGCTGGACCATCAGCCACCCTGGGACATCTCCACCCCCGAGTGCCTCATTCCAGATGTTTTGGATTTGGACCTTCATCCTCCAGGAGATTCAGTCTCTCCCTCTCTGTGTGAATGCTTAAGCTTTGCCTCATGTGTGGTTTTTGTAGCCTGACCTCGTTCCAGCTCTCCGTGGTGGAGAGGAGGTGGTGAGGCTCAGGTCTTATTTGTTTGGCAACACCTGGAAGTTGCATGACATCCTCCCTGATCCATATCGTTTACAATCTATCTGTAATTTTGTCCTTGATGTAATTGTACTATGTTGGTCTATTCTATACACACATCTATTAGGAGAGGGATCTCTCTTCTGTTCCTGTTATAGTTGTTTGTTAGGGGAGTCTTCCCTTAAGATGATTGTAAAGTTGTGATATTGGGCTATATATAAATACAATTGACTTTTCTTTTTCTGCCAGGAGTGGGCTTCCATATCAACGGAAACAACTCACAAACACTCCCAACCAAACCAAACAGACGCAACGCTCTCCCACCTCCACACATGAAACATGTTTTCATTCAGGGCTAAGAAAGCAATGAGGGCTTGACTCGTTGTGTTCGAGGTAGACTCAGGATCCGAGTCCTTGAAGTCTACCGGACACTCGTCAAGAACCGGACACAGAACAGAAAAAAGGTACATTTTTGATTGTGAATTGAGAAGACAAAAAAAAGATGAGCTAACAATGTTTTTCATCTAAGTTTCATCATCATTTATTAGAAAATGTTCTTTTACCTGAGAGAATCCTTCAATAGCTTCCTTTACCCAGTCACAAAAAGTGGTCTGTGTTTGTGTGTGTGCATGTGTGTGTGTGTGTGTGTGTGTGTGTGTGGCTCTAAGCTGATGCTCTCATGGGTGGGCGCATTATTAAAAGCAATCATGAGATTATTATTTTCCCACAAACGTATAAAAACAAGATCTGCTCAGATGAGAAAAACGCCGAAAGGTCCACCCACTCACTTATTACACTTCAATAAAAAAATCATAGTAAACTTTATAATTAGCCATTAACCGACTTTGCCTAGAGGCTGAAACTCTTATTTTGGAATGAACAAAACACAAACCATTAAATGGTGCAAAAGGCATTTGGCTTCGGTGCAATTTACATTTTGTCACAATTATCACCACCAGAGATTCTTCCACTTATGGCGGATTGGTTTGGGCCATTCAAAGTGCATTTTAGTTAAGTGCTCAAGTTGAACGAGGGGTCAGCGGGTTGTAGATTCAATTATTTTCTTTTAAAGATTTGCAAATCAAGTCAAATTGTCTCCTCGCGTCTAAAGCGCAGAGGTAACGGGTTAAGTAAACTTGTTTATGCTACAAACATCCCACTGATGGACATCCACCACCCAGAATACTCTTTAATGTTACATTAGGTTGGTCGGAGGACAGAATAATTAAGGCTTCACACACATCTTGCAGTAAGTTTGAATTTAGGGGCTTGTCTAAATCTTAAATTGTGGCCTTAAGGTTCAACCCACCGAACCATGAGAGCATCGCATCAGGTAGACGAACCCATACAAACACACATAAACATGCACACACACCACTTTCTGAGCAGTTTACAAAAAAACAGCACATCTCGTAGAATCCATATTCTCCACAACATCCCCATCACCCCTCCTACTGGTTCTCCGAGACCACGGGACTACCGTGAAGAGTGTACCGACCCCCCCGGGGACCAGCTCGCCCGTGCAGTCCTGACCCTTCGCCCACACAAAGAAGCGAGGGTCTTCAGGTCGCGTGAAGAACCTCTGGAACTCGAGCCAGGCCGAGTTTGATTTCATGAGCAAGACGAACCCGTTGTTGTTACACACCGAGCTCATCTTTTCGGAGGGAAACTGCATAGACATCTCGCTATTTGCATGTCTTCACAAACTCTACATTTGGCATAAAGGGGGGGGGGACCAAACACAAACCAGAAAAAAAACAAAAAAAACATCACAGACAATCTCCACCCATGTCCAATGTGTCAACATGTGAGAATAAACCGGATCATGATATCTATGGAAGGGTGGGCTCGGAGGGGCCCCCCGCAAAGCCAGCCTTTTGAAACCCCCACACGTGGCTCGTTGTGGTCCAAGTTCAGGGGTATCGTCATGGACCACAATGACTTTCAGCTTTAACCAACGCTGTAGAACCAAGTATGGTACTGTCATCATGATCCAAGACTCCATTTACACTTCACTTCATGTGTCTTGGGCAGACTGGATAGCTATTAAATAAGTAGAAATGCATCTGAGACGCTTTCAAGAGGAAATGTGACTGCTCAAACCAACCTGGGAGCTGGTTTCAGATGCACTCTAGCCAGATGTTGAAAATGTATTCTTTACTCCTCCAAAGTGTGACTTGGTCAGTAAGCTATCTGTGGAAGCTTCTGGTGTTTCTGACAGTTACCAGTTTACCACCACTCTCTTGACTCGGGTGTGGCGACATGATCTGGCATATAAGGGGCTTAGTGTCTTAAATCTGGAAGACAAGACACTTGAAATGTAAATGGAGGTCCTTGATGTAAACTGGTCCAGGTTCATGACTAACTTGTTTTTAGAGAACCGAGGCTGGCTTCTTGGGAGGCAATGGGGGTGGCGGACAAATGGGGAAATCCATTTTGGCCTTTTCCAACATTGATGTGAGCGTGTTGCAGCCACGTTAGCCGACATTCACTCGACTTAATAACCAGCTTAGGTTGGATTCATGTCTCCCTCTCCCACCTCCCACTTTACTCAACAAAACCACCTCACTGCCCTCCTAACACTTCTGCCACCGTGGCTGCTGGCCACACCCACATCAATAGTTTGGAAGAATCTGATTCCATAGGTGAACACACACTCACACACACACACACACACACACACACACACACACACACACACACACTATAGGCATTCATGTGTAGCGTGTGATGTCGTGGTGAGAATACGAGGGGTACGAATCTATCTCTTTGCAAACAACAGGAGGCACAGGGTTCATGATTAATGTCACGGGGCACTTCTGAATATGGATCAGCATGCACATGTGAGAGAGTGCACACATACAAATGTATGAAGCATTACACATTACTTTGCTTTTTTTTTTTAGTCCCCCCCCTCCCCTCTTACATGGGAGCGGGATGGAGAGGTTGAATTTACTTTTTGTTGCAATAAATCTCGAGTGTTGTATGTGTTTGTATTTACATCCTTGGTTATGGCCAAAATAAAATGAAACGAGAACTCAAAAACAGAAAAAAAACATATAAAAATACACAAAATTGCACCTTGCAGACGGGCAATATATATTCTCAGTTTTGTAGTTTGTCTGTAACGTCTATGTGACACCACTATCTTTTCTGCTGGTGTGTGGAAGTTGGGTTGTGGGTGCCGGGCTCAGGTCCAACCCCTCCACCCCCCCCCCCCCCCCCTCCTGTCAGCTACATTCAATACCATATAACTCTCAGCCATTACAAAAGTCATAATCCCTCAGTCTCTGGGCCATTCACATTTTAGGTTTACTGTCCATAGACTGTGCCTTTAAGTTGGAGAAGTGCTCACATTAGCAGATGATCTCGAGCGTCTCACAACCAAATAAGATAGAGCACAAAAGCTTGAGGGAAGAGTCCTTTTGTAACTTCTACTGAGGCGTACACACAAGCACATATTATCTTAACGTATACATTGTTATTCTTAAATCTATATATGCATCTCTGAACTTTCACATGTGCCTGCAAAATATGACTCCTCCCAAGTTCCTTTGAGTTTTGTGTTGTGTGAGGTATGACAAGATTGTTTCTTTTTTTTTTTTTTTGTATTTTCAGTTTCTGTTGCATTATTTTTCCTGTTTGTGTTTTTTTTCTTCTCCAAAGTTTCATTTCATAAAAAAAAAAACAAAAAACAAAATATATATATATATATATAAAAAAGAAAAGAAATTCCTGTTTTGTTGGTTGTAAATTCCTCCTGATAAAAGGGGACGGACGACTGGACAGACACACACACAAACAGATCAGTTGGCTTATCAACACAAAGTATAGATGTGAAAAAGAAGTGACATATTCTCTGTTACACTGCACGCATGGTCAAAAAGTGACTACAGCTGTTTTTTTTCCTTTTTTACACAGAAGCAGTTTAAGCGTCAAAAGAACAAACAGAAACATAAGGAAACAATGATGAAATGAAAAACATCTCCAATCATTTTGTTCAGGAGTCCATTTCTTTTTTTAAAAGTCATCTCTTTTCATCTTGTTTCGTGGATTTATAATAATTTCATATATCTTCTTTTTTTGTTTTCTTAATCTAAATCAGACTCAGAAGGTAAAGCAGCATTATAACCCCGACTGTCACACACACATACCCAGTCAGCTCACGAGAACAAAGGACATCAATAGCTTTTTGTATTTTCTTCTTCTCTCTTTTTCAGTTATTTTTACGTAGATGTGTTGGAAATTCCAAACCTGTATCTCTGGCACGAGGGATCTCTTTGTGATCCTCGCCATGTGGAGGTTGGAGGTTATCCTTTTGGAGGGAGCTGAGGGGGGACGTTTGGGCTCGTCAGCTGGCATGCGAGGGGGGGCTCATATGCGGTTGTCGTTGGAACTGAAGGGGAGAGCGTACGTATCCCTGCGCCGCCACCTCCCACTCCTCCCGAGTGTTCGTTAACATCGTCTCTACAACCGGCCACATCGCCCCTCTCTCTCCCACGTCAATGATGGCAGTGAGGGGTCGAAGCCCTCAGCTTTTATTTTTTTGTGTTTTCTGTCCCACGCTTTCTTCTGTTTCTCTTACATCCTCACAATCTCGCGCTCAAGTCTCTCATTCCCATTGCCGTCGCTCTGCCGATCACATTCATTCGGTGGTCGCCACTCTAAAGGGCGGTTATGGCCAGCCTTGTCTCACAAGGGAGAGGCCTGGATCCCGTTTGGTGTCAATGATATTTGGGGGCCAAACTACGGGGGAGGGGGGAGGCGACCCACTCAGCGGTGAGTGGGTCGCCTCCTTCCCTAAGCCTAACCTTCCCTAAGCTAGATTGCTTAGGGAAGAGGAGAGAAGATGATTATGGAAGGGAGGGCTCTGAATTTGAAATTCCACTGGGCTGACGCTACAGGAGGGATGATGGGAGAATTATTAATTAATTATTAATTAATTCTACACAGCCCACAGTTAAGTTGGTCTAATACTGACTAACGGGTCAGGTTTGGGACTGAGCCCACTGATACTGCCAGCATCTGTTACACAGAGCCACCAAAACTCACCTCAAATTCGTACCTGCCACCCAAAACTCGCCCCATAATGAGGCAGGGGGGGGAACTATTGGGTAATCCAACAATTGTTGGTTAAACTTTGACGAGTAAGGGGCCGAAAGGGAGGACCGCTGCAGTAGTGCAAAAGCTCCCACCAGCCTGGCTGGTTGGGGGCTGTTATAACGGTGGTAGGGGAGCAATTTAGTCTCGAGCTAGGCTCCAGAAAGAGCATCCTTGTCGATTACCCACGATCCCCTGCCGCGTGTCGCTCTGCTGAGGTACTTCCCAGGGGTGCAGGTTACCCGTCCTGTACAAGCACCGAGCGGCGAACTACTGCTTGGCTTTGAGTATATAATATATTTTCTTAAGTCTTTCTTTTCCTTTCATTCTCCTCTTGCAAGAGTGGTAAACCCAGTTAGATTTGGCTTGGCCCCAGAATTGGAATGAACAGACTGGGCTTTTGTGATCAAATCAACATTCTTGAATGGTCATTTGGCTAGTACACTATGATACCTGCCATGGATGTTTGCCGTGAGATATTACCGTCATAGTGGTGAGCGTTGGTAAAGTGCATGGGACTAAAAGAGCTTTTGAGCTGCCTCCTAAGAAGCTTAATTTCGGTGGAGAACATTCTACTTTTTTCTACGTCTAATGCACGGTCCTTGCATGAATGAAAGCTTATTTCCATGAAATATACATCTGTCAAGATCCAACGGCAGCCATCATGAGTGCACTGTGGAAAATCGCCATGATGCAGAAGGAAACAGCCCTTTCTCTGCATGCTAATTCAACGGGCGTGGCCTCCGAGGTTTTTTTTCCCCCCAGGTACTCTCTCCGTCATCTGTCCTCTTGCTGCTCGCGTAAATGGGCTGCACGCATCTACGCCGTCCTTCGTCGCTTCTGTGAGTCGGTTTCCGTTTTTGATAGGAACAGGTAAATCCAAATTTCAAAAGACGACACTTGGTCCCGTATAACAAAAAAAAAGAAAAAGAGAAACCCGAATGCGATGGGTACCATTCCCTGGAGTCGGTAAAAAATAAAAAAAACCTTTTCCGGGGGGGGAGATGGCTGGCCCTCCTGTCTTCAATGGTAATTCATTTCAACCAAGCGATAGCACTGAGGGTGTGTGCGTGTGCGTGTGTGTTCATGATGCAAGTGTTGTTTTTTTGTCTTTCCGTGACTACAAGTGTGCACCGACGTAAATATTATGCACATTTGCGTGTTAACCTACACATGCGCCAACTTGAATGGTGTATGTCTGCAGCTGCCCCGTGTCCACAGAGGTGAGGTAGTGCCTGACACCACGGGGGCAGAATCGCGGCCCCAGCCTGGGGGTGTAATCCACTTTTTGAGGTAAATGGTAGCCTTCTTGGCATTTGCCTGCTTTCTCAGTGACGCCCATGGTTAAAAAAAAACAAAAAAACAAAGGCAGATGTGTATGGAAGCCTTGGAGGGCCACATTGAGAAGAGTCCGTGAGGAGAGGACTCTGTACAAACCCTGCAGGTGAGGGCTGTATATCGACACTGCCGCGCAGTGCATACAGTAAAATGAGGCATTCACGTTACTCTGAGGTGATGTTGTGTGTTTATGTGTGTGTGTGTGAGAGAAAGACAGAGAGAGTGTGTGTGTGTGTAAGATGAGCTTTGCCGTCTCGCTGGTCGCTGCTATTGAAAACCTCCTTGGAGGCTGCGTGCGGGAGATTTATTCTGACTCTGGCTCCGACTTTACAGTTCAGCTGTTAAATCTTGTTTCCTCTCTCCATCTCTGCTCCTCCCTCCCTTCCAAGTGTCTCTCCCCCTTACTCCTCCCCTCCCTCCCTCCCTTCTTTCTCTCTGTCTTCTTCTCAATGCACTCAAAGCCTCATTGTCATTAATATGACGGTGGGCTGCTGGCACAAGCAGCGCGGGCGATGACAAGGCAAGTCAGCTCATATGTGTGTGTTTCTTTGTGTGTGTCACAGGAGCCGGTCCAATGACAAAAATGAAGGTAGATATGGAGCCATGTTCTGCACATTTTTTTGTTTCTCAAAAGGTAGACAACACAATTTCATAAAACTGGAGTAGCCTTGTATAAATATAGCACCGGTTTTTACTGGAATCTAAGTACGAAGCTCCAAAAAAAGAGCTGTTTAAACGGCTCAGATTGAGTTGAGGAATCGATAAAAGACTAAAGTCTGGTAGCTCTGCTGTACTGCAGCCATTATACACCAAAGCAACGCTTAGAGCATCTGCTGGAAATGTCTTCAATGTGCAGTGTTTGCTGATTGCGTGTGCATGCATGACTGTGAGCATATATGTCACCTGTGTCCATATCTCTGAATTACAAGCCTTAACACTTATTCAGAAATAATACTGAGAGGTGCTGGAAACATGGGCTTCAGGTGTGTAAATCTGTGACCGCTTTAAAAAAAAGAAGAACCAGAGAGGGGGAACGGACCCCTGCAAAAGTGTGCTGTTCTGAAGAACTGAGGTGGAACAGGCTGAGTGTGTGTGTGTGTGCGTGTGTGTGTGTGTATCGGTGTACGTGTCTTGGCAAATGGCTACAACTCTTACTAGATAAGACATCATGCTCAGACAGAAGGGCCCCCACACGGATTTTAAAACAGGGGTAAGTAAAAGGAGGAGAAAGAGGTGGAGGAGAGGGTGTTCGTGAAACAAAATCCCCTGTTTGCTTGACTCTCCTGTTGCTGGTGTGTTGTTTCTGTTATTGTTGGTTCCACTTGTTTGTTTTTCTTTTAAAACCACATACTGTAAATGCGATGTCGGAGAAATGCAGAGAGGACTCTCCCTCCATCCTTCCCCTATAAAAAAAAAAACAATGGCCCTTCCCATCTCACGAGTTTTCCCACGGTTTCCTGTTCCGCCCTTCGCGCGGCAGGCGGCTGAGTTTCACACCTCCTGGTCCTCGAAGACCTCCAGGAAGAGCGGCGGGAAGAGTTCGTTGGGACACTCCACCTTCATGTGAAGGAAGCGGCTGGCGTGGCACGCCCCGATCATCCGCAGGTCGGTCACCTTCATCAGGAGCTTCGGCCAGAAGTGAGGAATGTTGTGCTTGCGGTAGTTGATGTAGTGCTCGAACGCCAGCAGGTAGGTCTCCTGGCACTTCTCGATCTTGTCCATGCAGGTGAGGCCAGAGCGATCTGGTGACGGACGAAGGAAAAAACATCAACTCAATGTAATTCTAAAAAACGGTGTGGGCGTGGCAGCATTTATTTTAATTGATATTTTTCGTACTTTCTAAAGTAGCAATAAACAAGTGTTTGTGTTTAACTTATCATTATGAAGTAAATATTTATTGCTTAATGTAAAGACTACAGAGCAGAGTGTAGAGGGACCTGAGGCTCCGTCGGTAATAAAGGTGTTGAGAGTGTTTAAATGTTGAAGTGTCCTCTCATCCCATCGGCAGTTTGTGGTTATTTACGGTAGTATTATTGATTATTGATTAAGTAAAGACCCGCCCTACTCTGCCTCTGATTGGCTAGAACGCTTCTTCTTAACACAGGTTCATTACTGATGAACTAGATAGGTGGATGGTTGGTGAGGTTAAGGGGGCAGTTACTATCCCCAGTAGTATGGCGGATGGTAGACCCACCATTATACACATCCTCTCTTTATTTGCCTTCTATTATTTCATACTAAACCCCCCCCCAAAAAAAGAGTTTCTACAAAGAACAAACCAAGTGTGAAGGTTTTTTAATCACATTTAGGATGAATTTTTCCCTTCATTCAACACTGAATATGTATGTGGACTTTAATCTTCAAGCCATAATTACATTCTGGCTCACAATAGGCTACAATATATACAGTGTAAAGCGGCGGGTAATGAATATGGACTGTCATGGAATTGTGTCTCCGAGGGCACAGAAGACGGAAAATTTACATTTACATTATATCGAGCTGAGACTCCGAGACTACCAATGTTCTGAGTCGTGCCGCTGTACGTTTTTAGAAAAGCAAGTCAAGAAGTTCTGAAGTCTTCTACCTGAGCTCATGAGCAGCACGGCCTGCAGCAGCGCCACCTCCGTGTCGTCCAGGTTGAACTGCGCCAGGCTCCTGCCCAGGTCGAAGATGGCGTCCGACACCACGCCCAGCCCGCCGTTCTTCAGCTGCTCGCGCTTCACGGCCATCTCGCCGCTCAGCGTCAGCGTCTCGCTCTCGGGGTCGTAGCGCATGGCGGCTCGCAGCGACATGATCTCCATGCAGCAGCCCTTCAGCAGGATGATCTGGTCTTCACAAGGTAGCTGGTGGAGAAAGGTTGTTTTGCCGATTAATTATAAAGCATTGTTTAGAGTAGAGACGACAACATGTTTGTTACATTCAGGTAGTTTTACAGTAAAAAATAAATAAAAATCATCCACACAGACATAATCAATTCACAAAAAAAAGCCGAAATAAGATATGCTCTCAAGTATAACAGAACAAAAACACATCACACCACTCACACAATCCCCCCTGAGAGGAAAATACAACACAAAAAAAATACATTCCTCGATTTCTCATCCATTCATACGTTGAATCTCAACACTTGACTTGAGATGGATGTCTGGTATCATGTACGAGGAGTTAGGAGGTAACAAAGGGAGGAGGCGGTAGAGAGGAAAGGACGGGAGGTAGAAACACGAGGACGAGTTGGAACAACAAATGTTTTCCCCTGATGAACACAGATTATGACTAATACGCCTGATTTACATGGATATTAGATTATCTGGGATGAAACCCATTTAATTAAATCTACAGACTCCGGTGTGCTGAACTAAAATGTCACCTTCGTGTAAGCTTGTTTCATATTCCGCTGCTCTTGACTGCTGAGCAGATTAATTGGCATTAATTGGCTTGATTTGTCTTGTAAATTTGTACCTGGAGGGCACGCTTGATTTTTAGAGGCTGAATAAACGCGTTCTTTGTTTCTGTGCGTTTGTTGTCTGTAATTCACTGCAGTGGCACGAACAGGTTCTCTCTCTCTCTCTCTCTACCGCCTCTTACATCAGATTACAAAGCTTCTTCTTCTATCCAACACAATCTATTATATTGTGAATGAAAGATAACATATTAAACATAACCGATTATCTGCTTCTGTGTCTGGAATACTAAAACTCTGTGTTCTCATCTGCTGACGTTTGCTTTCTTCATCTCTACAATTAATGGAACGTCCAGCAGCGGCGTGAGGAATGTATTCTAGTTCACGTAGTAGCATCCGTCATGATAGTAACATTTATATTATAATAAAACAATCTGAACAAATTCAACTTCTTTAAAATATGCTGATTAAAAAAAAAAAAAGTGACGACCTTTACTTTCAGAGCTATCGTGATTTATGTTCTCAAGAACAACTTATTTC